AACTGACGGTCATGATGAAATGCCAAAAGTCCCAGATGGAACCCAACCTTAGTCCCGGTCGTTGGGTTGGTACTAACCGAAGATAGCTGCCGTGGAAAGCCGGTGCCGCTGAAGCAGTGAGCAACCGCGTCAGCTGTTGTAGGCATAATGCTATGTTACTCGTCTGCTTCCAGTGGAGTTCGAACTCAGGCCTGTATTCCAACAGTTCAGGGGTGTACCATCTGGTAGGCCAGCTGGTTCGTGCGATTTTCCAGATCGGATGGCAGGGACCCGTGGATACTCGAAACCAGAACTAAAACCTCCCACCCAACTAGGGCACTGCTGCGGCCCCTCTGATGGCATATGGCGACGTCTGTTTAAACGCGCTCACGGTCGGGCTGCGTTCAAACAGCCGTCACGGCGGGTATTCTTATCTCTGTCTCTCCCTCCCCCTCCCCCTCCCCCTCCCCCGCCACCCCTGTCTGTGTGCTCCCGATGTGGTCCCTGAAGATGTGGACCGTGGCATTCACAGTCAGCCCAAAACGAAAATAGGTGAGTTTGCTCGCCGTGGCGAAGTGCGCCCTCTCTCCTTCTCTCCCTCTCTCTATCAGAGGTGTTGTGCCTGAAGAGGTTGAGAGTTCGTTCTCTCTCTCTCTCTCTCTCTCTCTCTCTCTCTCTTTCTCTCTCTCTCTCTCACACACACACACACACACACACACACACACACACGCACACACACACACAGGTGTTGTTCCCGAAGAGGTGGATCTCTCTCTCTCTCTCTCTCTCTCTCTCTCTGTTTGTGCCTCTCCCTCCCTCCCTCCCTCCCTCCCGTTGCATCCCTCCTTCCCTCCTCCCTCCCTCCATATGCGGGGAGCATGCCGTGAATCCGGAGAGGCAGGGGGAGAAGGAACACTAGGGGGAGGTCAAGTGCCTGGTCATGCAGGCAGGAGAAGGCAGCCATCGAAATCAGGAGAGGCTGGAGTAGCAGGAGAAGGGCGAAGGGGGAGGGTGAGGATGAGGAGGAGGAGAGGATCAGGATTTCGTCGGTCAGGATCGGATGCGGCGACAAAGGAAACAGAAGGAGAGCCACCGGGATAGGGTGAACCATGCAAGGGAAGTTTGCCGAGGTTAAGTAGGTTGTGTAGGGGGAAGCCGTCGAGGGGGGTTCTAACGTAAACGGGAGGAGGAGGATATAGGTCAGGACCCCAATTTGCGAAGAAGGGGATGGGCAGCGCGGATTTGAGAGGGGGGGGATGGGGGGGCAATCAGAATGTTGGAATCGAGAGAGGAGAAGGTGGGAATGCCAGCCAATCAGGGTGAGGATGCAGGAACCGATGAAGTTTCAAGGGAAAGTACGCCAAGGCCTTAACAGGGTGAGGAATGCAGGTCGTGTAGGGGGGGGGGGATCCGGACAAGGTGGGGAAGAAGAGATTGCGAGGCAGGAAGAGGGGCTCAGCGCGGAGGGAGGGGAAACAGATTGTACGGAAAGGAGAGAGCAGGATAATGACCAAGGGGCTGGATCAGGAGAGGGATAGGGTAAATGTGGATATATGCAGGTGATGGAGGGGAAGCTGTCTCTTATACACATCTAGATGTGTATAAGAGACAGCACACACACACACACACACACACGCACACACACACACACCCCACATACACACGCGTGCGAGCGCAAAGATATTGCTCGAGTAAACAACCCATTGGTGATGCAGAAGACAGCAAAATGATGCCACATACTCCACATCCCTACGAAAAAGCTCAGACTTCTATTTTCATTCTCTTGTTTTTTTTTTTCCGTTCAGAACAGTGAACGGTTTTAGAGCAAGGCCCAAGGTCACAGCTATAGCCAAAAGAGTTCCTACACAGAGGATCCTCATTCCCTCCCCTCCCGTAAAGAACGGCGAACGTTTTCACAGCAAGGCCCAACGTTTTAACCAATCCATTCGCCATCTTTATGAGTGGAAGGGGGCTCGGCTGAGAGGATAGGTTGTGGAATTGACGAACATCGTGATTCGATTAAAATCATCCAAATGCGATCATCAATCCTGCATTTCATTTCCACGCAGCGTTGTTTCAGCATTTGGTGTTGGCGTCATCACCAACGCCAACACGCGCGAAGACATGAACGAGGAGAAATGCAACCTCTCTGGCAACGTCCCCACCAGTAGAATGGAGACTGAAAAATAAAAATAAATAAAAACGAGATGATAAACATGATAAACGTGAAGAGACGACAACATAGCAGAACGCAAGGAAAAAAGAGAAGAAAGAAAAGGTACATGACATGATTGAGAAGACGAGCTCGAAGGGTGTAGTAATATCACACAGTCAACATTTCCTCATCCCTTTTTTTTTTTTTCTTATATTAACATTCAGAATCGTCTAGGACGGGACTCCATAAAGAGAAGATCGTGGCCCGAAGAATACTACCCCGCTGCAACCTCTCTCTGCCCTGTCCCTCTCGCCATCTCTTTCTCCCTCACTCTTCCCGTTCTCTAGCTATTCTCCCCTCTCCACCCCTCTCTCTCGCTATAGGGGGTGCGTCCGACCATTAAACAATCCACGAGTGCTCTCTCTCTCTCTCTCTCTCTCTCTCTCTCTCTCTCTCTCTCTCTCTCTCTCTCTCTCTCTCTCTCTCTCTCTCNGAGAGAGAGAGAGAGAGAGAGAGAGAGAGAGCACTTGTGGATTGTTTAATTGTCCGACGCACCCCCTAGAGAGAGAGAGAGAGGGGTGGAGAGAGGGGTGGAGAGAGGGGAGAAGAGCAAAAGAAAGAACGGGAAGAGTGAGGGAGACAGAGGTGGGTAGAGGGACAGGGCAGAGAGAGGTTGCAGCGGGGTAGTATTCTTCGGGCCACGATCTTCTCTTCATGGAGTCCCGTCCTAGACGATTCTGAATGTTATTATAAGAAAAGAAAAAAAAAAAGCCCTTTGAGCTCGTCTTCTCAATCATGTCATGTACCTTTTCTTTCTTCTTTTTTTATCCTTGCGTTCTGCTATATTGTCGTCTCTTCACGTTTCTCATGTTTATCATGTTTATCATCTCGTTTTTATTTATTTCTATTGCAGTCTCCATTCTATTGGTGGGGACGTTGCCAGATAGGCTGCATTTCTCCTCGTTCAAGTCTTCGCGCGTGTCGGCGTTGGTGACGCCAACACCAAATGCTTATCACCTCTGCGTGGAAATGAAATGCAGGATTGATGATCGCATCTGGACGATCTTAATCAAATCACGATGTTCGTCTATTCCACCACAACCTATCCTCTGAGCCGAGCCCCCTTCCACTCATAAAGATGGCGAATGGATTGGTTAAAATCGGTGAATGGATTAATTAATCGGTGAATAATACTGAATATCTCCTCTCGCTGACAATGTGTGTAGGGAGAGAAACACCCCCTTCCACTCATGAAGCTGGTGAGTGGATTGGTTAAAATCGGTGAATGGATTGATTAATCTGTGAACGTCTCCTCTCTCTCACAATGTGTAGGCGTCGAGAGAGGTGTTTCTCGCTCGCCTTCGCTCTTAAGAATCGAACTGTAAGAGGTCAGCGAGAGTCGGTCTCGGCATCTGGTCATACTAGCAGAATACGAGATATCCAATGAAGCCTTCAAAAGAAAGAAACAAAAGATTCAACCCCTGACATAAGAAAGAGTGACAGGTTCATTGACAAGAAAAAAGAGAGATTCATACCCCTTGGATCTCAAAGAATAAGATTCGACCCCCGGGTGCGGGGAAGGGGCGGGGGGTGGTGTGGTGTGGGGCGCGCGGGCGCGGGACACAGAGAGAGAGAGAGAGAGAGAGAGAGAGAGAGAGAGAGAGAGAGAGAGAGAGAGAGAGAGAGAGAGAGAGAGAGAGAGAGAGAGAGA